GGAGGAGAGACCCCCAGGAAATTTTTAGGGGGGGGCTCACGACGTCGGGGCAGCAGGTGTACGGGTTGGAGGAGTGCAGGAGGTTGGCAGATAGGGCCGCCAGGTTAAGGGGGCCACTGGTCACGAAGGGGAAGGAAGGTGTAGAGGCACGGCCAAGGGTACTGGGGTGTGTTACCAGTCCGGTCCGGCCCGTTCCTGATCCCCGTGTAGGGCCAGGGGTGTGTGTCCTCAGTGCGGTCCTGTCTGTTCCTGTTCCTCGCATGGAGCCTGTGGTGCGCGTCCCCAGCCCAGCCCGGCCTGTTCCGGCCACTCGCACCAAGGATACGGTGCGCGTCGCCAGCCCGACCCGGCCTGTTCCGGTCACTCGCACCAGGGATACGGTGCGCGTCGCCAGCCCGACCCGGCCTGTTCCGGCCACTCGCACCAGGGATACGGTGCGCGTCGCCAGCCCGACCCGGCCTGTTCCGGCCACTCGCACCAGGGATACGGTGCGCGTCGCCAGCCCGACCCGGCCTGTTCCGGCCACTCGCACCAGGGATACGGTGCGCGTCGCCAGCCCGACCCGGCCTGTTCCGGCCACTCGCACCAGGGATACGGTGCGCGTCGCCAGCCCGACCCGGCCTGTTCCGGCCACTCGCACCAGGGATACGGTGCGCGTCGCCAGCCCAGTCCGGCCCATCCAAGCTTCCCGCACCAAGTCTGTGGTGCGTCTCGTCAGCCCTGTCCGGCTCGTCCCTGCTCTCCGCACCAAGTCAGTGGTGTGCGTCGCCAGCCCATTCCGGTCCATTCCTGCTCCACGCACCAAGCCAGGGGCGCGTGTCGTCAGTCCGGCTCCGGCCAGCGGGGCTAGACAGGACCAGGAGTACTTTGGGGGGTTGGAGAGGAAGTGGGGATCAAGCCCGGAGCCGGAGCCGCCGCCGAGGAAGAATGCCCACCCAGCCCTCCCCTGTTTTGCTCATATTTAGGCGCGGTCACAGTCCGCGCCTTTAGGGGGGGGGTACTGTCACACCCTGGTTCGGGGACTCATTATGTTGAACCAGGGTGTGTTCATTCTATGTTTTCGGTTTCTCTGGTGGGTGTTCTAGGTGGTTTATTTTCTATGTTTGCCGGTGTGACTCCCAATCAGAGGCAAACGAGTGTCAGCTGTCGGCTGTTTGTCTCTGATTGGGAGCCATATTTAATCTATCTGTTTTCCTTTCGGGTTGTGGGATTTTGTTCGTGTGTGTGCGTGTTGTACCACAGACGTCACGGATTCGTTGTTTGTTTGTTTTGCTCGTGTGAGCATTTAATAAATATACTATGTTCACTCAACACGCTGCGCTTTGGTCTCCTCCTTCACACGATCGTGACAATGGCACTAAACTTTTAACCCATAAAAGTCTTAGCAATTGTTCTATAATATCTACTAACCTTAACATATATGATTAATAACATGACCATCTAGCTATTTGATTCTCTATTTTAGGGCACCTGGGGTTATCAGAAACAAATGTGTAAAAGTTATTTGATGAAACTGGGGTGGATTTCCACTTTACACATGCAGGAAGTCCAGGGGTTCCCAAACTTTTACTGCACTTTACCTTAAATTGGTACTAGAATATCCAGGGGTCCCAACTTGGAAAAATGATATCCCCTAGTTAATGCTGTGTGTTCGTTCATATTTATTCAATTTTAAGTCCTGCCGGCTGTCCAGACACATAATAATGACATGAAAGCACATTCTTACAGTGTAAGAGGTCCTTAGTTCACACTAAAAGGTTGTATTATATACCCATTTGAAGAGAAAAAAGTTATTCATTTGTTTGGTAAGATTACAGATTTCGGGGGACTCCACATGGCGTCCCGACACCAAGTTTGGGAAGCACTGTCCTAGTCACAAGTGGCTACAAAAATCTGTCAAATGCCAAAAAGATAGATTAATATACATGGCTAAAAGGAACATGGGGAGAATCTCAATTGCAAACTCCTCACATCCTCTCTCCTCGCTGCCTTCACAAAACCCATTGGATGAGAAAGCAAGAGGTGAGGTCCCTCACCTCTGACCTTCTCCTCCAATGGGTTTTGAGAAGGAGGCGAGGAGAGAGGACACGAGGAGTATGCAATTGAGATTCTCCCATGGTATCCTACCTGACTGTCACTATCCCTGTCCTTGGGTCAAGTCCTAAGAGAGGACAGAGGAGGCCATCTTGTACCAAACAGAAGTTCTCTATCCTTTCTCTCTGGGGATGGATTCACACAAGAAGAATAAAGACAATTTACATTATTCCGTTATGCTGTGAGGTTTTCCCTGTGGTTGCAAACCAAAATGATTCAAATCCCTTCCCTTTCTCTCCCTCCCTCCCTTACTATGTAAAAATATGATAAGAAACAGATACCATTGTCCAGACCAGTCGAAACAGTGAGTGCGCTGCTTAAGTGCTGTCTTGGCTTTAGACGCAGTGGTCAAATACACTAACAAGGGATAGATCCTAAATGGCACCCTATTCGCTATATAGTGCACTACTTTTTACCAGAGCCCTATGGGCCCTGGTCAAAAGTAGTGCACTATATAGGGAATAGGGTGCCATTTGAGACGCATCCAAGGCCTTTTGGAGGATTATACAAAACTATCAGAGAGAAAGTTCCAGATACTCTGTGTGTGTCTCAAATGGTACTCTATTCCCTATTTAGTGCATGACTTTCGACGAGGGCATGGTCAAAAGTAGTGCACTAAATAGGCAATAGGGTGCCATTTGGGATGCACACTTAGTCTGCTGTGTTTTATGCGGGCCCTGATCAGAAAGCCAACAATGTTATCTGTGAGATGTCCGCTGGAATCAGAAGTAGGACACGAGTTGTGTTTTACTGACAGGGGCTTTGTTGAAATGAAAGATATGAAAGCCTGGATTGAGGTGTTATCAGCTAGAGAATTCTATCTAACTCTAAGGTTCATTGGCAGAGAGGTTTTAGACAGGGTGAATCTGAGTCTTTCTGGTCACAGACTATCTGTAGCGTTATATCTAACAGTCGTGACCAAGAGGTTGGCAACAGCACACATTTTTGTTGTAGCCACGGACAAAAACACCTGATTCAACTAATTGAGGGCTTGATGATAAGTTGCCAAGTTGAGTCAGGTGTGCTTGCCCGGGGCTACAACAAAAATGTGTGCTGTTGGGGTACTAGAGGAGTGGGGAAACACTGGTGTAGTGGTTTTCCTTGCCTGGCTCTTAATTAAAAAGGGTGAATCAGAGTCTGCGGTCACACAGATAGTAGTCTCAGCTTGGTGTGGCTTTTCTGATCTGATATAAATAAAGAATGTGAGATATTTTTCTTATTTTTTTTCTTTTATTGATTGAAACAAAGCATGCCTTTCATTCTTGTATGACTGCTCAGTGCTCAGCTGGTCCGGTCTGTGCTAGCAGAGCAAGATGAAGAGCACAACAGTCAGAGGATGTCTTCAACACAACACTTCACATGACAAGACATCTCCGAAAAGGAGAGAGAAGAGAGAGACAACATGGGCGTACTTTGCCCTCAGCCATGAGAGAAGTATCCTTGTAAAACTGTCCATGCTTTGAAGGTTGTTTGAAACTAAACAGCACCATCCCCACCCATTGAGAGCTTTTACTCAACTAAGTTTCTAGGCAAACAAGCTATTATTTGTATGGAACATCTTTAAAGGGAAGACTGTAAATATGTATTCCTTTGTTTCTCGTTCCCATCTGATATTCTAGAGTGTTTTTGGTGGTTTTATTTGCATGTCTTGGAAGTTTTAAACGTGGTTAAAACATGGGCCTGTTTGAGAAGAATCAATCAGAGCTTAGATACAGTTTTGTCTTTATTTTACATTTACATTTTAGTCATTTAGCAGACACTCTTATCCAGAGCGATTTACAGTTTTAGTGAGTGCATACATTTTCATACTGGCCCCCCGTGGGAAACGAACCCACAACCCTGGCGTTGCAAGCGCCATGCTCTACCAACTGAGTAAATGATTCCTGCCAACATTAATACTAAGAAAAATAATTAAATAATAGCTTCATTCTGCAGTGTGATGTGTTCAAGATCACAACTATTTGACCTCCTTGAAGTTGACAGTGATGGCAATGCATTCTAACTTTCAACCACATGAGGGTATCTTCGAGATCTAAAGATCATTGAGAGAGCAAGAAAATTAATTGTATCCTCAAAGCAGTCTACATTCTTTCTATAGTTGTTATTTAGGGATTTAGTTGTTATATTGTCTGTCATCCCATGTGTGTCCTACGTGTTTCCACACCAACCAATGTTATGGTGTCTCTTTTATCGGTTGAAATGAACTGGACACCTGTCCTGCATGCCTGCGCAAGCGATTGATGGTTTTACGCGTTTTTACGCGCGCCTTTTACTGAATGGAACGTAATTAAATGAGACCTGTTGAAGACGGAATGTCCAGAAAGATCTGTAGCCTACCTAACACCATAATAACAACAATATAAATGCATAAAGCACAGATAACACTTTTAAGACAGTATTGGTCACATGGATTAATTGATTGAATGAAAAAAATGTAGTTGGGAGCTAAATAGTGGAAGTCTCGTCTCTCTACCGTTCTCCCGTTTGGTTTTAACAGGGGGGTGGGCGGTATAGCACTGTCTGTCTCCCTCCACTGTCTGTCTCCCTCTGCCAATGATAAAACAGTGTCTCTTGGGAGGCGAAAGCGGCACATCCCTGCTGTCCCGGAATCTGAAATCCACCCCATCAGTCCAGGAGGACAACCACATTCACACCACTGCCGCCAAGACATGACCCGTCCAGTCTCCGCGACGAAAGCCAACGCTACTACCGGGGGGCTTGGAGCTGCATAGCACCAACGCTCCGCCGACTGACCCCAAGAACAAGACGCGACCACCACAAAGAAGTGAACAGAGATTTGTTTGATACGAACTCCCAGGACTACTTATCTTCTAAAGGAATTATCTAGCTAATTTCCATTTTTTCCCTCACTCAAGCAAGCAACGGCCTTTGTGTTCAATGACACCATGCTCATTGTCTCGTCCCGCAGTGCGCTGCTGTCGGTCTACTATCCCCAGATCTTCCTCATCCTCACCAGCGGTAGCTACCTGTAGGTTGGCACGTGCTTTTTACCCTTCTCTTCAACAGGTGCTTGTAGAGCCATGTGATGGTGTTGTGCATTTGTAAGACCTCTTTAAATTTTGAATCTCTATTATGCACTAATTTAATTAATTTGTTGATTAGGCCATTTAGGCACGTTAAAATTATAGAGCATGTGTGGTTTATAATGCAATTTCACTATACAATGATCAACTCAAATAAGTTATTGGAACTTATATAATAGCCTATTGTAAAATACTGGGATCGATATTGGCCTTGACATTAAATTGTTGGTGCCAAACAACAAATATCTGTTCGGTTTTGTGACTGAAAATATAATATTTTATAACAAAATCTATAAGAACTTAACAAGAATAAAAACGTTTAATGAACATGTCTGTGGAAGAGCTTAATTTAAACTTAGCTGACAAAATGTATTTTCCAACTAGCCTAAAAGTGGTACAGTCAATGGAGAGGTTCACAGACAAATGAAATGAAATCAATATTTTGATGGCTTTATAAATGACTTATGTTATATTCACAGTGTTCAATAACTAAATTGATGAGATTACCTGACCAGTTGGATCTACGCATTGCAACATGACCATGTTCTCTACACCCTATATTTGTAAAGCAACATATGGAAAAGAGCAACATGTTGCTCGATGACATCCTGTGTTCTGTAGACATAAACCAGTAGAACTGTACAACTGGTTATTTTCTTGTTACATTAAAAGACCCGGGCCCTCACAGAACGAATGATTACTGCACAGATAGGTTTCATACTTGCACAGACAGACCTGACCAATACATAAAACAGCCCTAGCTGAGGTTCATGTATTTAGTTATAATGAAGGCTATAAGCCAGAGTTGGTTTGTTGTCTGTTCTTCATCGGCTAACCATTGTTTGCTTTTGTGCATTTTAAAACCTGATTCAGTGACCCGAAGTAAATCTTACACACAGTGGTCCTTTAAAATTTATAAGGGTCATGTTGCAGGTTTTGCTTGTTTATCTGAAGTCAGTATTTAAAGTGTTATTTCGTCAGTCTCAAAATATAATCAATCAAGTGTAAACCAGAAGTTATTGGCAAATAGTTTACAATAAAGATATTGGCCCTTTTCTGTGATTCGGCTCATTTTCAGGGTTATGGCAAGCCACACGAGTCACGCTCCCCATCCCTTTCTCTATTTGTAAGAAGGCGGTGGAGAGGGGTCGTTCCTAACTGGCTCAGATCTATAAGGTCACAATAAACAATCTCAGTGACCTGTGAGCTTGTCTCGGACCTGCTGTGTGTCTTAAATCAGCTGTGTGTCTTAAGTGCTCTATCTAGATTGGTAGCGAAACTACCTGTGAGCCAAACCAAAACTTGACTGATGTGAGGGAACACTGTAGCCCATGGGGAGACCTGTAGAATCTGTAGCTTCAGTCCATGCCGCGTCGATTCTGCCCCGCCAACTCTATGCCGTGATGTTTAACTATCTCCCTCTCTCTCCCCTCCCCTTCTCCCTCTCTCTCCCCCCCCATAGGGCGCTGTCCTCGGTGGTAGCGTTGGGCGCTAACATCATCTGCAACAAGATCCCTGGGCTGGCCCCGAGGCAGCGCGCCCTCTGCCAGAGCCGCCCAGACGCCATCATCGTCATCGGCGAGGGTGCCCAGCTGGGCATCAACGAGTGCCAGTACCAGTTCCGCTATGGCCGCTGGAACTGCTCTGCCCTGGGCGAGAGGACCGTCTTTGGACAAGAGCTGAGAGTAGGTCAGTCTACCTGCTGCAATTAGTCTAGTCAAACACACATCACTTGATAGGTGGTGCTTGGCCAAAGAAAAACTTGTAGGGACAGTTTCCTGGACACAGATTAACCCTAGTCCTGGACTAAAAACTATTTTCGATGGAGATTGCCCATTGAGCTTGCTTTTTAGTCCAGGACTAGGCTTAATCTGTGTCTGGGAAATCACCCCGTATAGATGAAGTAGGACCTGCAATGGTGTTGGGTCCTACTTCATTTCTACATTCTCTAAAGTGTGGCTGCTCCACACTGAGAAGGATATAGTAATGTTTTATGATGATGATGATGCAGTGATTGCATCAGAATGCCCACCAGACCAAGCATTGGCTAGAAATAGTGGAGAGGTGAGCATCTGATTGTGCCAAGTTGGCAGATTGAGCAGTCACTGGCTTTTCCTGTGCCCCGATGAAAACGTATAGGTCTACTGTCAGTGACTAGTGCCTAACTCACAGTCCAACCAACGCAGTCCAAGGTGCATGACACAAAGCGTAAGCTGGATATATACAAAATATGATCAGCCACTCTTACAGGAAAATGAAAGCTCAATTAAAGTTGTTTCTGTTGAACTTCCTTTTTCTTCCCAGTGGCTATGTTCAGGCCAGGGCACTGGTTACAGGAGAGGTTATGGTAGTCAGTTCAGGGACATACGATTTGGTGAAGGAGGGAGCGATAGCTACCATCATGGCCAATTGGGTTGTTGTAGTGAGTGTGGTGCTTCTCCTGCAATAGAAGCAAGGATGAGAGGTTCACAAACTAGACCTTCTCTTCATTAGAGTGAAGAGTGGAGCTCTATGGTTAGTGAAACTACTTCAGTGAAATCTTCCAGTGAGAGTACTATTCTTTCACCATCATGCTCCTTCAATAACCACAGTGAATACCGTACTTTGACTCCATAATATCAGGCATACGGGAACAATTGAAACTTGAAGCCGTGATGCTAGTGTCCTGAAGGGGTTTCAATCCTACAACAGTCAGTCCTACATGTGACCTCATTGTGTAGAAATATGTCCTGCCTCTGGCCTTGAGTTTGGTTTGTGACATTCATTCTTACAACACCGACTGTCCTAAATACAGTAGGTCTATAATAATGATTGTGTGAAAATGAACCAGATAGTCCTTAGAAGTGCATCCTCTCCTAACTATCTATACTCATAATCAAAGTGATCTCTAAACATCGCTCTGATCTGCTTTTAGTCAGTATTCCCCTATTATTTTATTTCCCACAGCACACCAGTAGTATTGGTCTTAAATTGTCTATCAGTCAGAAATGTTTTGTTGCGGTCTCGCTGTGGTTTGGGAACTGTGTTTAATCCAACAGCTCTGGGAACAATCACTCCTCTCACAGACAGGTGGACTGCTGGATCCAGGATCCATCTAGTTCTTTTGTTTGAGGAAAGGAAATGTATCTATTCCTCTGTTCACCGTGGTGTGTTAGGATTATGGTGTGTTAGGGGGCTAATAGGGACACTCAGCTTGTCCCTCTACTGACTGTATGTGTTGGGAGAGATTGATATGACAATAACTCTGTCGATCTACTGGGAAGTTATGGTGGGACTCACCTCTTGGGTTGTTGTTGGTAGTGATGAAATGTTGGATTGGTAATTCACAGGGCCTGGACAGGCTCATCCTATGGTCAGTTGATCCATTCGAGTTCATGCATGTGTAAAGGCATCACGGGTGTCAAGAAGTTCCTCTTCAAACACTTAATTTGATTGACCTGCAAGGACAGAGAACATATAACATAACTATTGAGTGAGACCAGAGTTTCTGTCTTGACCACTAATCAAAGTCAGCTACAGCAGTTAGAATACCAACAACAATGGAACCAAGCATGTATTACTCTACAATCAAAACACATTTTATATGCTGGGGACGACGTTTGGCAGCTCGAGGAAAACATTTACTATTCTACATTTACCAAAAGTTCTGGTTCCCTGGTTCGGACTGATAAGAGAAGACTTCAGAGTTAGTTTAAAGTTATGGATCAGGGAGCCACTGAGCTAATGGGATCTATGCGTGAGAAGCCACCCCATCGCCTTCCACTAGACGCCATACATTAATACTCAGGTTGTTGAGGAATGGAAGCCAACATAGTATCTTAATTGAGGAGGGAAATGTCCTATTACAAGGAACAACACAATAGTAATGTTAAATACAGTAATTAATTTCCTTTCCATGCTGTAAATGTTAATGTGTTTGTTCTGAAATGGAAAGCGTGCCATTTGAAAGGATCTTACGGGTATTTATCGTTGCTCTGATGGTGTAGTTTGACAGATTGATCAACGGCATAGCAGATGTGAGAATGTATCGTGTGGTTGTGGGTCTATAACTCATGATAAGTTACCACTACCAGCTACAAAAACAATATGAGTAATGTTCACTTAAGATTTATCTAGCATCTTTAAGCAGATTTGTGTGTTTATTAACTTCTTATAAATCATTTACAAGACGTTACATTACATCCATAAACAACTTGTCTAGAGTGAAGGTAGTGAGTTCAATAACGCTACATTGTCAGCTAGAGAATGACAAATGTGTTGGCTGAAGCAGAAACCAACTGGCACACATTAAGTGCACTTATAGATAGGATAATCTACACTGAACAAAAATATAAATGTAACATGTAAAGTGTTGGTCCCATGTTTCATGAGCTGAAATAAAAGATCCCAGAAATGTTCCATACGATGAAAATATTATTTATCTCAAATGTTGTGCACAAATTTGTTTACATCCCTGTTAGTGAGCATTTAACTTCTGCCAAGATAATCCATCCACCTGACAGGTGTGGCATATCAAGAAGCTGATTAAACAGCATGATCATTACACAGGGCCACTGATGTCAACGTTGTGAACAGAGTGCCCCATGGTGGCTGTGGGGTTATGGTATGGGCAGGCATAAGCTAGGGATAACGAACACAATTGTATTTCACTGATGGCAATTTCAATGCACAGAGATACCGTGACGAGATCCTGAGGCCAATTATCGTGCCATTCATCCGCTGCCATCACCTCATGTCGCAAGGATCTATACACAATTCCTGGAAGCTGAAAATGTCCCCCATGGCCTGCATACTCACCAGACATGTCACCCATTGAGCATGTTTGGGACAACAGCCATTGAAGAGGAGTGGGACAACATTCCACAGGCCACAATCAAAAGCCTGATCAACTCTATGCGAAATAAATGTGTTGCGCTGCATAAGGCAAATGGTGGTCACACCAGATACTGATTGGTTTTCTGATTCACACCCCTACCTTTTCTTTAAGGTGTCTGTGACCAACATACACAGATCTGTATTCCCAGTCATGTGAAATCCATAGATTAGGGCCTAATGAATTGATTTCAATTGACTGATTTCCTTATATGAACTGTAACTCAGTAAAATCTTTGAAATTGTTGCATGTTGCATTTATATTTTTGTTCAGTATATATACTCTATAATACTATAGCACATACTATATCATCTATAATACTATAGTACTTATACTATAGTAATAGTATAGTACATACAGTAGTTTTTACTGTATCTGATGTACAGACACAGATACAGTAAGGCTCCTCTGGTCAACCAGCAGATGTCACTTGGGTTTTCTCAGTGGAGTCTTACACAGCCCGCCTGTTAAAAATTAGGGCTCTGATGAGAGTCAGATAAACAGAGACTATCAAATAAGGAATGGTAGGTATTTATTAGCCTGTTACAGGTTAATTACATTACATTAGTATAAGGCAAACTGCAGTCAGGTCACTCAGTAATGTAAAGTATGGCTGAATTTTGTTGTAGTGGGCCACAAGCCTTTCATTAGGCCACAACATAAAATACTGTACTGTAACATAAAAACTCATACTATGTACTGTAATGCACTACAACTCACCTAGGACTACTGCAAGGTAACTCTTTCCCCTCTCTCTCTCTCTCTCTTCCCCAGGTAGCCGAGAGGCGGCGTTCACCTATGCCATCACGGCAGCTGGCGTGGCCCATTCGGTGACAGCAGCGTGTAGTCAGGGCAACCTGAGCCAGTGTGGCTGCGACCGGGAGAAGCAGGGCTACCATGACCAGGAGGAGGGCTGGAAGTGGGGAGGCTGCTCGGCCAACATCAAGTATGGCGTGGAGTTCTCCAGACGCTTCGTGGATGCCCGAGAGATCAAGAAGAACGCCCGACGTCTGATGAACCTGCATAATAATGAGGCAGGACGAAAGGTGAAGTGACTGACACTGCTTGTCTTGTTGTCTGGGGTTTTTAACACGCCTAACAAAAATGTAGTTGTTCTGTAGTGATCTAGAATAGAAGACAATAGAATATAATAAAATATCCCAGAAATGTTCCATACGCACAAAAAGTGTATTTCTCTCCATTTTTCTGCACAGATTTGTTCATATCCCTGTTAGTGAGCGTTTCTCTTTTACCAAGATAATCCATCCGCCTGACAGGTGTGGCATATCAAGAAGCTGATTAAGAGCATTATCATTACACAGGTGCACCTTGTGCTGGGGACAATAAAAGGCCACTCTAAAATGTGCAGTTTTGTCACACAACACAATGCCACATATGTCTCAAGTTTTGAAGGAGGATACAATTGGCATGCTGACTGCAGGAATGTCCACCAGAGCTGTTGCCAGATAATTGAATGTAATTTCTCTACCATAATGTCGATTTAGAGAATTTGGCAGCACGTCCAACCGGCCTCACAACCGCAGACCACGTGTATCCACGCCAGCCCAGGACCTCCACATCCGGCTTCATCGCCTGCGGGATCGTCTGAGACCAGTCAACCGGACAGCTGATGAAACTGCGTGTTTGTACAACCAAAGAATATCTGCACAAACTGTCAGAAACCATCTCAGGGAAGCTCATCTGTGTGCTCGTCTTCCTCACCAGGGTCATGACCTGACTGCAGTTCGGCGTCAAAACCAACTCGAGTGGGCAAATGCTCACCTTCGATGGCCACTGGCACGCTAGAGAAGTGTGCTCTTTACAATGAATCCCATTTGTTTCCTCTGGATTGATGTGTACGACAGAGTGTTCCAGTTCCCAGCAATATCCAGCAAATTCGCACAGCCATTGAAGAGGAGTGGGACAACGTTCCACATGCCACAATCAACAACTCTATGCGAAGGAAATGTCACACCAGATACTGACTGGTTTTCTGATCCACGCCCCTACCTTTTTTTAAAGGTATCTGTGACCAACAGATGCATATCTGTATCCCCAGTCATGTAAAATCTATAGATTAGGGCCTAATGAATTTATTTCAATTGACTGATTTCCCTATATGAACTGTAACTCAGTAAAATCTTTGAAATTGTTGCATGTTGCATTTATATTTTTGTTCAGTGTAAATATAAGTTCAGAGGAGACAGCATCGCTGTGCTAAATTATGCTATACTAGTTTAAAACAGAGGGTTTCAGAATGTGTGTGTGTGTGTGAGCGCATGCGTGTGTGCCTGCCTATGTGTGGGTGTGTGTGTGAACGCGCCCCTGTGTGTATGTGTGTGTGTGAGCGGAGGGAATGCAAGGCCGGGCAAACCGGCTGCCAAATGGAGGCCTGCAATAACCCTGCAGTCCCATTCATTGAATTACAGAGCATTAAGTCAGGATACAGGATATTATTGCAAAGTCTCTCTCTCTTCCTCTGTCGATGCAGCACCCAAAACCAAGCTGCTGCATCACTGCACACACTGAACCAACCTAATCAAGAGCCAATTCCCCTAACTTGATAGCAGGGCAGATCAAGAGCAACAGGCTTGATACACTGATACATTCGTACATGATAGGCTAGTAGGCTACAGTACTGGCCACCCAGTAAGAAGTTTTACTTTAATTCCTATTGACAATGCATCTAATGTCAACACTGATAGATATGGCTTTGTGTTAGAAGATGCTGTATTTTGGGGGGAACATTAGGTTACATAAACATTTCAGATTTGGTCACAACTATGTAACTCAACCCTAAACTGTTATCTGTCAAATGCGTCCGCTGAATACATCTGCGAGGCATCAAAACTTAAATTGCACATTTACCTCAGTAAAACGTTATACATGTTCTGGTTACATGAGAGTTCTGGTCGTTTTTTCTGTCCATTGTGGTCTTTAGGAAGGTAAAGTTAGTAAGAGAGTAGAGGCTTGAACCATAAGTTATTTTCCCTTTGTTTTTTTTTTACATATACAGTGAGGGAAAAAAGTATTTGATCCCCTGCTGATTTTGTACGTTTGCCCACTGACAAAGACATGATCAGTCTATAATTTTAATGGTAGGTTTATTTGAACAGTGAGAGACAGAATAACAACAAAAAGATCCAGAGAAATGCATGTCAAAAATGTTATAAATTGATTTGCATTTTAATGAGGGAAATAAGTATTTGACCCCCTCTCAATCAGAAAGATTTCTGGCTCCCAGGTGTCTTTTATACAGGTAACGAGCTGAGATTAGGAGCACACTCTTAAAGGGAGCTTGTTACCTGTATAAAAGACACCTGCCCACAGAAGCAATCAATCAATCAGATTCCAAACTCTCCACCATGGCCAAGACCAAAGAGCTCTCCAAGGATGTCAGGGACAAGATTGTAGACCTACACAAGGCTGGAATGGGCTACAAGACCATCGCCAAGCAGCTTGGTGAGAAGGTGACAACAGTTGGTGCGATTATTCGCAAATGGAAGAAACACAAAATAACTGTAAATCTCCCTCGGCCTGGGGCTCCATGCAAGATCTCACCTCGTGGAGTTGCAATGATCATGAGAACGGTGAGGAATCAGCCCAAAACTACACGGGAGGATCTTGTCAATGATCTCAAGGCAGCTGGGACCATAGTCACCAAGAAAACAATTGGTAACACACTACGCCATGAAGGACTGGAATCCTGCAGCGCCCGCAAGGTCCCCCTGCTCAAGAAAGCACATATACAGGCCCGTCTGAAGTTTGCCAATGAACATCTGTATGATTCAGAGGAGAACTGGGTGAAAGTGTTGTGGTCAGATGAGACCAACATCGAGCTCTTTACCTCAGTAAAACCATCAACTCAACCTCTTTGCCATCAACTCAACTCGCCATGTTTGGAGGAGGAGGAATGTTGCCTATGACCCCAAGAACACCATCCCCACTGTCAAACATGGAGGTGGAAACATTATGCTTTGGGGGTGTTTTTCTGCTAAGGGGACAGGACAACTTCACCGCATCAAAGGGACGATGGACGGGGGCCATGTACCGTCAAATCTTGGGTGAGAACCTCCTTCCCTCAGCCAGGGCATTGAAAATGGGTCGTGGATGGGTATTCCAGCATGACAATGACCCAAAACACACGGCCAAGGCAACAAAGGAGTGGCACAAGAAGAAGCACATTAAGGTCCTGGAGTGGCCTAGCCAGTCTCCAGACCTTAATCCCATAGAAAATCTGTGGAGGGAGCTGAAGGTTCGAGTTGCCAAACGTCAGCCTCAAAACCTTAATGACTTGGAGAAGTTCTGCAAAGACGAGTGGGACAAAATCCCTCCTGAGATGTGTGCAAACCTGGTGGCCAACTACAAGAAACGTCTGAACTCTGTGATTGCCAACAAGGGTTTTGCCACCAAGTACTAAGTCATGTTTTGCAGAGGGGTCAAATACTTATTTCCCTCATTAAAATGCAAATCAATTTATAAAAAATTTTACATGCATTTTTCTGGATTATTTTGTTGTTATTCTGTCTCTCACTGTTCAAATACAGTGGGGAAAAAGTATTTAGTCAGCCACCAATTGTGCAAGTTCTCCACTTAAAAAGATGAGAGAGGCCTGTAATTTTCATCATAGTTACACGTCAACTATGACAGACAAAATGAGAAAAAAAAATCCAGAAAATCACATTGTAGGATTTTTGATGAATTTATTTGCAAATTATGGTGGAAAATAAGTATTTGGTCAATAACAAAAGTTTCTCAATACTTTGTTATATACCCTTTGTTGGCAATGACACAGGTCAATTTTTTTTAACTTTTGTCATGCAATAAAATGCAAATTAATTACTTAAAAATCATACAATGTGATTTTCTCGATTTTTGTTTTATATTCCATCTCTCATAGTTGAAGTGTACCTATGATAAAAATTACAGACCTCTACATGCTTTGTAAGTAGGAAAACCTGCAAAATCGGCAGTGTATCAAATACTTGTTCTCCCCACTGTATCTAACCCTCAGGTCATGTCAACCTTTTCCAAACCCTGTATCCAACCCTCTTCTCACCTTTCCCTCAGATCCTGGAGGAGCGTATGAAGCTGGAGTGTAAGTGTCACGGCGTGTCGGGCTCCTGCACCACCAAGACCTGCTGGACCACCTTACCCAAGTTCCGGGAGATCGGCTATGTCCTGAAAGAGCGCTACGGCGAGGCGGTCCAAGTCGAACCGGTCCGGGCCTCGCGTCTCCGCCAACCCTCCTTCCTGCGTCTGAAGGAGGCGCGGGGCTACCAGAAACCCACAGACACCGATCTGGTCTACCTGGAGAGGTCTCCTAACTACTGCGAGGAGGACACGGCGACAGGGAGCACAGGGACGCGGGGGAGGCTGTGTAACCACACGTCACCCCATACCGACGGCTGCAATCTGATGTGTTGTGGTAGAGGCCACAACACCCACCAGTACACCCGCGTGTGGCAGTGCAACTGCAAGTTCCAATGGTGCTGTTTTGTGAAGTGTAACACGTGCAGTGAGAAGTCTGAGGTGTTCACCTGCAAATAAAGGATGGATGGATGGACGGACGGATGGAGGAGAGGGATGAAGGAGGGAGCTGGGAAAAGGGACAAGGGACAGGGCAAGGCTATGAGAGAGGATAAAAGGAAGGATAAAAAGGATACTAGGACGTGGACTTAGTGGGGAAGGACTTCAGGAGGGACTCTACAGAGTGGACTTGGAAAATTGTTAGATTCTTCATGGCTTCATTTTGCACATTGGACATCCTATTTGATTTTTAAAAACAAAGACAAAATATTAAATGTACTAAAATGACTTTGAAAGTACTTTGAGAAGTAGGCAAATAATTTTTTCTTCTTATGCGCTGACTGGAAAACTGTGATGCAGATATACTATGTGTTGCAGGATATTGATGAAGTGCAAGGATTGTGGTTGTTCGTTTTTCTGTCTCCAACCAAGCAAATCTGTTATTGGAAACATTGTGCACCCAAACTTTATCAAGTGCAGTTTTCACCTCTTCGGTAACACTGCTCAAAAAATATAAATAATCTCTTGAAATCTGAAATGGGGGAGAAAAAAACTGACCAACTGACAAAATTATAACCTCAAACTGGAAACGGTACATCAGCAAAGTGCCTTTGACTGCGATGCGAGACAGACGGAGAGAGAGAGGAGCATGGTTTTAATAGACTGACGTTGAAATGGTGGCGTACCTTAACTATCCAGTCACACTGTAATTACAGTAACTTCAGAAAGTATTCACACCCCTTGACTTTTCCACATTTTGTAGTGTTACAAAGTGTAACTAAAATGGATTTGTCATTTATTGTCAACAATATACACAAAATACTCTGTAATGTCAAAGTGGAAGAAAAATTCTAACATTTGTAGAAAATGCATGAAAAATAAAACACTAATACATCTTGATTAGATAAGTATTCAACCCCCTGAGTCAATACATGTTAGAATCACCTTTGGCAGTGATTACAGCTGTGAGTCTTTCTGGGTAAGTCTCTAAGAGCATTCCACACCTGGATCATTTTTTTCAAAATTCTTAAAGGTCTGTCAAATTGGTTGTTGATCATTGCTAGACAACCATTTTCAGGTCTTGCCATAGATTTTCAAGCAGATTTAAGTCAAAACTGTAACACGGCCACTCATTCACTGTCTTCTTGGTAAGCAACTCCAGTATAGATTTGGCCTTGTGTTTCAGGTTATTGTCAAAAATAAAAAGGATGAAAATGTATCACTACTGTAAGTCGCTCTGGATAAGAACATCTGCTAACTGACTAAAATGTAAATGTAAATGCTGAAAGGTGAATTCATCTCCCAGCGTCTGGTGGAAAACAGACAGCCAGGTTTTCCTCTAGGATCTTACCAGTGTTTAGCTCCATTCCGTTTATTTTTATCCTGAAAAACTCCCCAGTCCTTAACGATTACAAGCATACCCATTACATGATGAAGCCACCACTATGCTTGAAAATATGGAGAGTGGTACTCGTAATGTGATGTATTGGATTTGCCCCGAACACAACACTTTGTATTCAGGACAAAAAGTTAATTGCTTTGGGACATTATTTGCAGTATCACTTTAGTGCCTTGTTGCAAACAGGATGCATGTTTTGGAATATTTGTATTCTGTACAGGCTTCCTTCTTTTCACTCTGTCAATTACGTTGGTATTGTAGTGTCGGGCTCCTGCACCACCATTGGTGGTCCAATGTTGTTGATCCATCCTCAGTGTTCTCAGATCACAGCCATTAATCTCTGTAACTGTTTTAAAGTCACCATTGGCCTCATTGTGAAATCCCGGAGCGGTTTCCTTCCTCTCAGGCAACGGACTTAAGAACGACACCGCCTATATCTTTGTAGTGGCTGGGTGTATTGATACACCATCCAAAGTGTAATTAATAACTTCACCATGCTCAAAGGGATATTAAATGTCTGCTTTTTTTTTACCCATCTACCAATAGGTGCCATTCGTTGCGAGGCATTGGAAAACCTCCCTGGTCTTTGTGTTTTAATCTGTGTTTGAAATTCACTGCTCGACTGAGGGACCTTACAGATAATCGTATGTGTTCGGTACAGCAGTCATTCAAAAATCATGTTAAACTTATGTGACTTGTTAAGCAAACTTGTACTCCTAACTTATTAGCTGCATGGGGAATACTCATAA